GAGATTAATTTGAAGTATCATTGCTCATAAAAGAGGATTTCCTCGCTTTATACGTCTATGTGGCAGAATCACCACCATCGGCTCATAAAGTAGGAGAGGCAGGTGTGTGAGTTGGTGGGGATTTGTGGGCAATAATTTTAATATTTTATGAGGATGGTAGGGGGGAGATTGTGACAACTTAGGTGACAAGGAGGATTTCTCCTATGAGGCAAGGATACGCCATTAATAATATATATATATATATTAATATATATATTAATATATATATATATATATATATAATATATATATAATATACCTATATATATATATACATATATATATCATAATTACTGTGTATGCATTGTCAGTAAGAGGGGATTTCGCTCTTGATGCCTCTGTGGCACAATCGCCTACGCATCTCTCATAAGTAGGAGAGAGAGAGTAATGAGTTTGGTGGGATTTGTGGCCTAATTTATGAGGATGGTGGAGATTGTAGTCACCCGATAGAGGCGACAATGAAGGGAAATCCCTCCTTCGAGCAAGGATACCCATTAATCTCATATATATACTATATATTTATATTATATATATACTAATATATATATAATATATATATATATAAATATATATATATATGAGAAAAATGGGGTATGCATTGGTGCGCAAAGCAGCAAAATGTTATGCTTGGTAGCTGATGTGACATAATGCTTGCTCCGCACCTCATGTCAAATGTTTGCATTACCAGCACCATGCACAGCATCAACGCCATGTAAATGTCGGTCCCCCATTTGACGAATGAAGGTGATCTGTGCCAACTCACGTTAGCCAAGGCACAAAATTTGTGCTAATGGTACAAGTATACCCATATTTTCCCGTCTCGTTCTCTCTCTATCTCTCTCTCTCTCTCTCTATATATAGATATATATATATATATATATATATATATATCTAATTATATATATATATATATATATATAATATATATAATATATATGAGAAATGTTTTGCCATAAGGAAGACACATTAGAGTTCGCCACTTAGGAGCGGTCTAAAATCACATATATTGCCTAATTTTTTTTGTGATCCGGCTCCGTTATGAATTTGATATACACGTTCTTGAAACCCAAACACACGCATTTTTGGGGTGCCTGTTATGTTTTAACCGCTCTCCACTGCACCAGGAATTTTATGATTTAAAATGAATAGAACTTTTTTGGGCATGGCTCAATGAAGGGTCAAAACATACAGTTCCCCCACAAAATTGATGTGTATTGGGTTTAAGAACATGGTTAGATCAAGTTCAACGGAGGCGGATTCACAAAAAAATTTAAGGAATGATCGTGATAATAGAGCCGCGTCCTTAGGTGGAAATCTAAAGGGTCCCTTAAGGGAAACAATTATGCCTCTCTCTCGTCTCTCGTCTCTCTATATACAAATATAATATATATATATATATATATATATTATATATATATATATAATATATATATATTATATATATATATATATATAATATATTATATATATATTACATAATATATAATAATTATATATATTATATATATTAATATATATATAATATAGTTAGTGAAGAAAGTGAATCTAAAGTGACACCCTAGGCTTCCCACCTAAGGAGCGGCCGCTAAGACTCAGCATCAAAATTTCCTCATTTTTTTTTCGATCCGTTCCGTTGAACTTGATTCTACACGTTCTTTCTTTGAACGGTCCAACACACGCAATTTTGGGTATGAACCTGTGTGTTATTTGACATTGTTGAGCAGTGCAAATTTCTATTCATCTGCGAAACCCGGTAAAGTTGCAGGCGAGTGGATAAAGGTGCAAAACACCAACGGAGTTCAGCCGCAAAATTGGAGTGTTTGGGTTTAAGAACAAGTAGAATAGATTCAAGTTTGCAATGAGCGGATCGCGTAAGTTGTTTTTGTAAAATGATGTGATTCTAAGTCGGCGTCGGCTTTAGGCTGGGAGGCTAGGGTGTACCACCTTAGATTCACTTGGCCATATATAATATATATATATATTATAAACATATATATATTATATTATATATTTATATAAATATATATATATATAGTATATATATATATATATATATTATATATATATATATGGGAGAAGGGTTCCTAACGTGATACCATTAGATAATCATCTAAGAAGCGCGGTCTAAAATGCACATGATGCGAGCTACATTGTGGATGACGCGAGCTCATTGAACTTGATTTACATGTTTCTAACAAACCCAACATAACCATGTTCGGGAGGTGGAACCCGTGTTGGGTGAGCCAGTCGTTGTTTGACCCCTTACATCGCACTCGTATCATTTTAATGGTTTCGAATGAAATAGAACCTTTTCAAGATGACTACGGACGGAGAGTCAAACGAACGATGGTTCACGGGCTCAAACTTGGTGTGTTGGAGTTTTAGAATATGTAGATCCAAGTTGCAATGGAACAGATATCGACAAAATTAGTTAATCGCATAGAAATGATTTTAAGCCGTGTACCTTAGATGATTATCTATAGGAGTCCTTAGGAAACTTTTCGGCATATGATTATATAATATATATATATTATTTATATAAATTATATATATATAATATACACTATATATACCTATATATATATATATATATATATATATTTAGAAGTGTCGCAAGAGATGTCCGACAAGGACGTAGGTATGGGAAGTGCAAGACAAAGGTAAGGGAGCCCAAATGAAGTTTTAGTCTAACCTAGGACTCGAGTCATTTGAGAATTAGGTTTACCGCTCTTTTCCTAATGTAGCCAAGTCAGCAGATAATCATACATACACATAGACGGCAATATTTGCATCTATAAAATTCAGTGCAGGTAAAACTCACGCACATTTTCAAGCAAAATTGCACTTAACGTAGCAACTGTTTCTCAACAACACAGATGATAGTCAAAACTACAAATAAAACTGTGTATACAATATTATTTGTACCACTGAATTCACTCATAGACAAAAATATTTCATTTAACTAAAAAGGTCATTTTTCAAAGGGTAACTAGCAGTCTCCAATTTATGATTAGTGTTTGACATAAAAAGTGAAAAAAGAAGCCCAATAAGGGTTTCAAGAAAGAAGGTAAAACCTTTTGTTAGTAATAAAATTGTTTTCCAGTACATAAAGAAGATACGTAGGTGACTGATGCTTTTCAAGTGAAAGTTATTCATAACCATACTTCTCTGAACTGTGACCTATGAACAGTACATTTCTTTCTAATTATTGCCAGAAGGCGGAAATTACAACAAGAAGTATATGTTTATCCCATTGAATCTTTACAAAATAAACATTGACCAACTATGATGAGAACATGGAGCAAATAGAGAGGGTGTTTTGGGGATAAATGTCTCCTCTTTGAGCCAGCTTCGATCAAAGTTGAGCTAGACTGAAGCTGATAAATGATTAATTAAGTTCCAGACTAACCTAAGCAGTGATCAAAGTTTAGATTTTGCTAACCGTTCGAATAATCTGTACTGTTCTTCCTTCGAAATGCCAGGACTGAATTGTTGAAGATCCTGGATGAAAGCACTGGCCTCATCTTTCCTTCCCTGCTTACAATACCCATCAACAATTGCATTTGTCTGTACTCTAGCTTGGCTTGCATCCAGTTTTGATCATGTTACTAATCATGTTAATGGCTTCTACAAACATTGAATTGGACACATAGTTGCATCCAGTTTTGATCATGTTACTAATCATGTTAATGGCTTCTACAAACATTGAATTGGACACATAGCTTGAAACAATGGTATTATACGTCACAACATCTGACCTAAGTCCTGAATTGTGTGAAGCTCTGTGAAAACCCTCGAGGTGTCCGACATCCTTAGCAATGAGTAATTGCAAAACCAAGCATGATTGCATAACCTGTATCTTTGTTGTGAAATACAGGACCAAGCTATGTTAAGGCAAAGAATGATTGCGTTTCTGACTAACCTTAGCAGTGACCAAATGTAGATTTTGCTAACCGTTCCGATAACCTGCATACTTCTTCATTTGAAATGCCAGGACTGAGTTGTTGAAGGTTCTGGATGAAGACACTGGCCTCATCTTTCCTCCCCTGCTTACAATACCCATCAACTATGGCATTGTACGTACTCTCATTTGGCTTGCAACCATTTTTAGTCATGTTACTGATCATGTCAATGGCTTCCACAAACATTGAATTTGTCACATAACTTGAAACAATGGTATTATATGTCACAATATCCGGCCTGAGCCCTGAATTGTGAAGCTCTGTGAAAATCCTCGAGGCATCCAACATCCTTCCCTGCCTCCCGTAAGCATTAATAACAGAATTATAAGAATAAAGATCAGGTTTTATGCCCCTTTCCTTTATTTCTCTTAGTATCTCCTCTGATCTTTTGAAATCTCCTAAACGACCGTGCATATCAATCAAAGCGTTGTATGTAGTTAAGCTCGGAGTGAAGTCAGTTTCCCTCATAAACTTGAGGATGGCATTTACTTTCTCAATCATCTGCCTCCTCCCATAGATTGAAACCGTGGCATTCAGAGTAGTTATATCAAGGGAGCACCCTCTCTTCCTCAATTCAAAGAAAGCTTTCTCTGTTTCATTTAAAAGATTACTCTTGCTGTTTACTAACACGAGCGTCTTCAAAAGGATATTGTGTGGTTCAATAACTCCATCATAGATGTCCTCAGCGAGAGAAGACATTCTACCGAGCTCCCTACCATTGGCATAAGCATGCAGCAATGAGCAATAAGTAAGCTCATTTGTCTTACAACGGCATTATGAAGTGAAAATCAACTCATTTTTTGAAATATAAATCCAAATAACTCACTAAAATCATACTCATAAACAAGGTATGGGTAGTGTAAGACACAGGTAAGGGAGCCCAAATGAAGTCTCAGTGTAACCTAGGACTCAAGTCATTTGAGAATTAGGCCCCCCGCTCTTTTCCTAGTGTAGCCAATGTTGGGGAATTTTAGACTCTATTACGATCTGCGCAACTTGGAAACCAGCCCACAATCAACAAGATATAAAATAATCACAATCAAGAAAAAAGAATACCGAGATTTACGTGGTTTGATGGACCAACTTCGACTTACGTCCACGGGGCAACATTACGAGAAATCCACTATGTATCAGAGTGAACTACAAGAGGAACCACTCAACTCTCGCCTCTCAATCTCTCAATCTCACATATATAATCAACTCTCATATTCTCCCCAAAGCCCTCTCCTTACAATCTTTTGAACGGATAAAGACTGCGAAACCCTCTCCCAATGATGTAATCTTTTGCACGGACAAAGACTACGCCATCACCTCTCGCACAATATTCTTGAATGAGGCTATGTCCTCTGCTAACCCTAGATTACAAGAATATTGGCTCTCTCTCATCTGCTTGGTTTTTCCTCCAACAATAGAAGAATATATATAGGTAACCAAAATTCTATCTCTAACTGAAGTTCCTAATTAGAATAGGATTCAAACTCTTAATCATGATGAGACTCAATCTCCTAATCATGATAGATCTCTAACCCTATCTAATTCTCATGAAGGTATATAAAGAATCAAAGACACAATCCTAACAGCCAAGTCAGCAGATAATCATACATACAAATAGATGACAATATTTGCATCTATAAAATTCAGTGCAGGTGAAACTCATGCACATTGTCAAGCAAAATTGCACTTAACATAGCAACTGTTTCTCAACAACACAGATGATAGTCCAAACTACAAATAAAACTGTATGTACAATATTATTTGTATCACTAAATTCACTCATAGACAAAAATATTTCATTTAACTAAAAAGGTCATTTATCTAAGGGTAACCAGCAGTCTCCAATTTATGATAAATGTTTGACATAAAAAGTGAAAAACAGAAGCCCAATAAGGGTTTCAAGAAAGAAGGTAAAACCTTTTGTAAGTAATAAAATTGTTTTCCACATAAAGAAGATACGTAGGTGACTGATGCTTTTCAAGTAAAAGTAATTCATAACCATACTTCTCTGAATTGTGACCTATGAACAGTACATTTCTTTCTAATTATTGCCAGAAGGCGGAAGTTACAACAAGAAGTATATGTTTATCCCATTGTATCTTTACAAAATAAACATTGACCAACTATGATGAGAACATGGAGCAAATAGAGAGGGTGTTTTGGGGATAAATGTCTCCTCTTTGAGCCAGCTTTTGATCAAAGTTGAGCTAGACGGAAGCTAATAAATGATTAATTAAGTTCCAGACTAACCTAGGCAGTGATCAAAGTTTAGATTTTGCTAACCGTTCGAATAATCTGTACTGTTCTTCCTTCTAAATGCCAGGACTGAATTGTTGAAGATCCTGGATGAAAGCACTGGCCTCATCTTTTCTTCCCTGCTTACAATACCCATCAACAATTGCATTTGTCTGTACTCTAGCTTGGCTTGCATCCAGTTTTGATCATGTTACTAATCATGTTAATGGCTTCTACAAACATTGAATTGGACACATAGTTGCATCCAGTTTTGATCATGTTACTAATCATGTTAATGGCTTCTACAAACATTGAATTGGACACATAGGTTGAAACAATGGTATTATACGTCACAACATCTGGCCTAAGTCCTGAATTGTGTGAAGCTCTGTGAAAACCCTCGAGGTGTCCGACATCGTTAGCAATGAGTAATTGCAAAACCAAGCAATGATTGCATAACCTGTATCTTTGTTGTGAAATACAGGACCAAGCTATGTTAAGGCAAAGAATGATTGCGTTTCTGACTAACCTTAGCAGTGACCAAATGTAGATTTTGCTAACCGTTCCGATAACCTGCATACTTCTTCATTTGAAATGCCAGGACTGAGTTGTTGAAGGTTCTGGATGAAGACACTGGCCTCATCTTTCCTCCCCTGCTTACAATACCCATCAACTATGGCATTGTACGTACTCTCATTTGGCTTGCAACCATTTTTAGTCATGTTACTGATCATGTCAATGGCTTCCACAAACATTGAATTTGTCACATAACTTGAAACAATGGTATTATATGTCACAATATCCGGCCTGAGCCCTGAATTGTGAAGCTCTGTGAAAATCCTCGAGGCATCCAACATCCTTCCCTGCCTCCCGTAAGCATTAATAACAGAATTATAAGAATAAAGATCAGGTTTTATGCCCCTTTCCTTTATTTCTCTTAGTATCTCCTCTGATCTTTTGAAATCTCCTAAACGACCGTGCATATCAATCAAGGCGTTGTATGTAGTTAAGCTCGGAGTGAAGTCATTTTCCCTCATAAACTTGAGGATGGCATTCACTTTCTCAATCATCTGCCTCCTCCCATAGATTGAAACCATGGCATTCAGAGTAGTTATATCAAGGGAGCACCCTCTCCTCCTCAATTCAAAGAAAGCTTTCTCTGTTTCATTTAAAAGATTACTCTTGCTGTTTACTAACACGAGCGTCTTCAAAAGGATATTGTGTGGTTCAATAACTCCATCATAGATGTCCTCAGCGAGAGAAGACATTCTACCGAGCTCCCTACCATTGGCATAAGCATGCAGCAATGAGCAATAAGTAAGCTCATTTGTCTTACAACGGCATTATGAAGTGAAAGCTTGCTCCCAAAGTCCTCCACGCGCGAGTGCAGCTAGAACAGCATTATAAGTAGAAAGATCAGGCCCGATTCCTGCGGCAAGCATCCTCTTATATATCTCCATAGCTTCATCAAGCAATCCACATCGACTATATGCACCGATCAAAGTATTATAAGTATCTCTCTCCGGCACAAACCCAGCCTTCTTCATCTCCTTGAAAACCCAAGATACCTCTGACACCATTCCACTCTGGCCAAAAACAGACAACAAGGAATTCCATGTGACGATATCCGGGGTAAATCCACTCCTGGTGAGCTTTTCAAACACGTTGGTCATCTCAGCAAACCTCCCTCTATTTCCATGCATCTTTATCAGAGCATTATAAGTACACAAATTAGGCCTACACCCTCTCTTCTCCATCTCCTCCCAAATCTTCATCACAAACTCATCCTTACCCGCCTTCTCAAACTCCGACAACAACGTGGTATAAGTGAAAACATCGGGCTTTATCCCCTTCGCCTCCATCTCCTCCTTCATCTCCATGGCTTCCTCCAAATTCCCATCCTTGGCAAACGCGGATATCAAAGAATTATAGGTCACAACACTCGGCGGAAACCCATTCTCCTCCATCACTCTAAGCACCCCCTTGGCCTCCTTATGCCTCCTCGACTTCCCGTAGACATCAAGGAGCGCGTTATACGTCACTTTATCCGGAACAACCCCCTTCCTCTTCATCTCCTCGAAAATCTCCGTGGCCTCCTCAAACAAAGACCCTCCCTTACAGCAGCTAATCAGAGTGTTGTAGGTGTACTCGTCGGGCTCAATCCCCTCCCTCTTCATGGAATCGACGAGCGCGACGATCTCGGCCCACGGGGCAAAGAGCTTACCGTGAGCATCAAGGACCACGTTGTACGTCCGCAGCGTGGGCCGGACGCCCTCGTCGACCATCTCGCTGAAGACGTCGACGGCCTTGCGGAACTTGCTGCTGCGGACGTAGCGGAGATGAGGAGGATGGCGTAGACGTCGGGGGCGGAGCCGAGGTGGCTCGAGGGAGCGGATGAGGGGAGACGGCGTCGGGGAGCGGTTGTTGCGGGAGAGGATGCGGATGGCGACGGGAGGAGGCGGGGGAGGAGGAGAGGAGGAAGTCGCCGTGGGGGGAGCGGGCCCAGCGGAGGAGGGAGAGGGCGAGAGAGGGGCGGCGGTGGTGGTGGAGGGCGGAGAGGAGGGAGAGGAGGTCGGAGGGGAGGGAGGGGAGGGGGAGGGAGGACAAGAGCTCGGGAGGGAGGGGGACGACGGGGGCGAGGAGAGGATGGAATTGAGGAGGCGGTGGGGCGGAGGGAGGTGTGAGGGGGGAGAGACCAGGGTTTGCCGCGGTTGGGGTCGCGGAAGCGGCGATGCGAGGGGCTCGGTCGAGGGGGAGGAGGAGGGGGAGGAGGAGGTCATGGGGGTTTTGGGCAGGGGAGGGGGAGGCGATCGATAGGAGGGGAGGGGATGGGGGTGAAAGAAGGGCTTGGACGGGGGAGGCGGGGGAGCGAGAGGGAGGGGGAGGGAGAGTTTTTCTGACATTTTCTCTGGTGGGGTTCAGGGAGAGAGAGGGCGAAAGGGAAGGGGAGGGGTTGGCTTCGGGGGTTTTGAGGGGGATAAGGACTCCTGGTGGGGGGGAGCGAGAGGAGGCCAGGGGATTTTGTCAGCGTTGATTTTGGGTGGAGAGGGTAAAATCAATCGCGGATCAATTTGTATTTAAGTGTCGCGATTTTAACGGCAGAAAAATTTAGAATATTTATGCGTCGCGAAACACAACACAAGGTATTTTGTGGAATCTATGTGCCATTTGATTTTATAGATATTTACTTAAACAATAATCATAATAAATGGAAAAACTCACAGTGTTTTCAACAGTAATCATGAACAAAAAATTTGAGGTGTTCATCTCATAGTGACAAACTTGTTCTCTCTCATAGGGGTGACATGATGAGGAATTTTGCTTATGGATCCATATAATTTGAGGGCTCTTAAGTTGAAAATTTGGTGTCTGTCAATGGGTATGAGGGATTATCAACGGGTTATTTGGTTTTATTCTTACGGAAGGAAGATGTTAAATTTTAAATGAGATCCATATTGTTTAAAAGGAACTACCGAGGAGGGATCGCTAAGTCTGAGTGGAATTGTGAGTTGAAAATAAATAAAGATTAATGACCATAAATTTAATAATCAATTGGTAAACTTAACAGTATTCTAAACTTAACAATCAACTAATAAACTTAACAACTAATATTTAAATTTAACATGTGCTATATAAATTTAACATTTGTGATATAAACGTAACATATAATGAGTAAATTTAACCTCTGATTGCTAAGATTCAAGCTGATCCTTCACAGTTTAGAATGAACCTATACAATTACTTATTTGACTTTCCAAGCACCAACTCAAAATAAATTCCACATAACCTTCAAATGCAAAACCAACAAGTAAAAGTTAACAAATAGATATTAAATATATGAATTAGTAGAGAATTGTAATAGACATATATTAACGATATCAATTACTTGTTAAGTTTAATAGAAAACCAACAAGTATGTTTTTATCTTCACATAAAAGCTTGCTTTTTCAGAGAAAAAAAACATCCACTAATAATTTTTCAAACAAGCTTTAAAAAAATTTAAAAATTGCAAATAAATCATGAAAATTTTGAAATTTCAGAAATCACAAATAAACCATAAAAATTTTGCAAACAGATGCTTGAAAATTTTTTAAATTGCAAATAACTCTATAAACTTTTGCAAATAGATCCTAAGAGTTTCAAAAACTTCAAATATGCCCCTTAAAATCAATAGCTAATTCATATATTTAACATCTATCTATTAAAGAAATTGGGATTTTCTCAATGCTATTATGTTGAAATTGGGGTTCAACGAACAATGACTCAATTTAATCATGAAATACATCACCTCTGTATCCTTTTCAGTCCTCCTTAATGGATCTCCCTCTTGAACCTTCTTCCCCACAAGAGGACTTCGACGAGGAGATCCCCTCTCCCCTTATTTATTTCTCATATGTGTTGAGGGTCTTTTAGGTTTATTGAAAAAAATCAGAGAATATGAAACAAATCTCCAGAGCCTTTGCCAGCAGAGAGGTCTAACAATATCTCACTTATTTTTTGCAGATGATAGTCTCCTATTCTTCAAAGCGAAAAGGGAAGAGTGCCTAGTTCTCAAATCAATTTTACAGGAGTGCGAGGAGGCCTAGGGTCAATTGATCAACCTCGACCAGTCAGTAGTCTATTTTAGCGGGAACACTCGACCACCCGAGAGAGTGATGGTGGAGGAAATATTGTGGGTGCATATTGTCACAAGGCATGAAAAATATTTAGATCTACCAATGTTATGATAATGATTCACCAAATGTTAATCCACCTTTTGAAGCCGACACGTGCCCCGTCCATGACTAATAATACACGACTACTAGAGTCCAGGCGACTCGAGCAGCCCCTGCATGCGACGCAACAGGCCGACTAAAAAGGCAGTACTTGTCGCCCAACTCACCAGATGATAGTCTCCTATTCTTCAAAGCGAAAAGGGAAGAGTGCCTAGTTCTCAAATCAATTTTACAGGAGTGCGAGGAGGCCTAGGGTCAATTGATCAATCTCGACAAGTCAGTAGTCTATTTTAGCGGGAACACTCGACCACACGAGAGAGTGATGGTGGAGGAAATATTGAGGGTGCATATTGTCACAAGGCATGAAAAATATTTAGATCTACCAATGTTATGATAATGATTCACCAAATGTTAATCCACCTTTTGAGGGACACGTGCCCCGTCCATGACTAATAATACACGGCTACTAGAGTCCAGGCGACTCGAGAAGCCCCTACATGCGACGCAACAGGCCGACTAAAAAGGCAGTACTTGTCGC